GACAGAGCGAGACTCTGTCTCAAAAAACAAAACAAAACAAAACCCAGAGATAGTTCTTATGTTGGCCCAATGGCCTATTTTATTATTACTATAGTCATTAAAAGTCTAAAGGAAGGTATAGACTAATTCTACTTAAAGCTGAATGATAAACAAATGTGTAATTATTTTGCCATTGCGAGTCTCCTGGAGGGAAGCAAAGTTCCTTCTCTAAGCCCACAATGGTGGCTCTGATAATACTGTGTAATACACAGCTCCCGAGGGCCTGGTGAGAGTCACTTTGTTCTAACAAACCCAAATCAAATAGAATGCAACAGGGAACTTCACAAACAGATTACTCCATCAACAAAGGTTGGAATGCACAATGATCCCCCTTAGCCAATCAAATCTCTATGCTAATGAAGACAAGGCTTGAGAACTACTTAGCTGTTACTACTCATTAGCATAAAAAACTTAGCAGCTGTTTACCATTTCATTAGCATTTTAATGATAGACAATTTGCCATGTTAAACACAGATTGTTTTAAAGTACTGGTAGATCTTCTGAATAAATATAAACTATATTTTCATTATTCCTTCACCTCAACCTTGCTGTTTTCACTTTTAAAACCTACTTTTTAATACTACGTCACCAGGACTTATTGCTTGTTTTTGCAAATGGTAAATAAATAGGGACAAAGTGCATTTTTTTGGAGAAGTTCTTTCATGCTCTGATCTCTCTATCTTCATGTTTCAGATTTTGCTGCTGCTGCTGCTAAGAATTCTTTCTCCTCACCTCTGGGTGCCTGAAAGTCAGCAGGAGTTACAAGCAGAAATTTGACCAAAATGCATTGCACTCTGAAAGAAAATGCTTAATTTCTCTAAAAGTCAAGGACTTGCTAAGAAAAAAGGTTGAAAATATAATGATCAGGCATTTCAATGCAAAAGGTGATATAATATACCCATTAAGTTGCTATTCTCATGGGACAGAACCAACCTGTGACTTTTGTATAAACTATTTGGCAATATTACATAAGACACCTCCTATTTGTAGTTCTGTTTCAGAACATAGTATGTAATCTGGAATATATCATAATGAATAAAGTCATGATGAATAAAATCATAACAGGGTTCCACCCTATTTGATAATAAAACTTTTCATATCACTGAATGCATATATTTATCAAACTTCCTGTACTAAAATGAAATACACATATATAAGCATGCATACTCCAAAAATTTAACAGGAATAATTTAACACTCTTGAGAAAGGAATAATACAAGGTGGTCACAGGAGGATAGAAAATTCCAGACAGTAGTTGCATATGTTTAGCAAAAGAAAACTGTTGAAATAGCTGCATAAGGTAGGGGCTGATAAGACCCTGAAAAACGAAGGTGTGGGCCAAGCTGGCTGAGACTAACTGGACCCAACATGGCGCTGGATTTGACCTGGGTTTCACCTAGGATCTCATTCTACTCTCACTAACATACTAAATCACACACCCACCAGTGTCCTGACAGTTCTGAGACCACCCATATTGGGTGTAAAAATGGGTAGCACACAGTTCCAAGAAATCTTCACATCTTTACAGGAATCTTCATGAATATCCCTCCACTTGATTAAAGAAACCCATAAATATAGAAACTCCAAACCCTGTGGTGTGACTCACTTCTTTTGAGTATGCCCACAATCCCCTTCCTTAAGTGTGTACTTTTCACTTTGCAATAAATCTGTACTTTCACTCTATCCCAATTTGTCCTTAAATTCCTTCTCACAACAGCATCAAGAGTCTGGACACCAGACAGAGTTGAGGTCTCACAGGCATTTGGGGATCTCCTCTAGTCCACCAGTTTCACACTTATCATGGAAATTCCATGTATTCATATGAACATGAATTCCCATTAGTATGAAATTACTGTCTTCCATACATTTCACTTTGATGGTAAAATACAAGTTAATTCATCCATAGCTATGAAATCAATAATATGTAAAAGAAAATTTCCTAATATGATCATAAGAAAACTATTATTTCAGTCAACCGCCTCTGTAACATAATAGGTACCTTATTATGTTAATGGATTATGTCATAATATATCACAATACAACCTAACTTAAGGACAGATGACACCTGAAATTATTGCCTTAGTCTTTGGCCTTTAGATATATTATCTTAAAAGTGCATTTAGATTACAACTTTGAGACTTCCTAGTGGCTCTTGTTTATATGCCAAAACAGAAGCAAACAAAACACCTCATTCTTCAAAAGAGTATGCCAGAGTCAACAAATATGCATGAAGAAGCATTTGCAGAATGAGATCAAGTCTGTATCTATTCTATATCCTGCAAGAGTAGTTTCTTCTTATGCCATTATTATGCATGTTCCCGTCAGTGAGTACTGAAATTAAAAACTTAACATATTATAAAAACCTATTGTGGGAGGCGATGTCAATTATAGAACTCCAAAAGATTTCCTTAAAGAAATTTAAATGAGTGGCATTTCAGATTTTCTGCCAAACTCAGTTTTCTCTTTTCATTGCTTTCCCAGCTTTGTTGCACCTAATACTGCATATTTTTTCATCGGGATAATTGCCAACACAGCATCTCCTCCACTTCTCTCAGCATTTCTTTTCTTTCATTAATCTGCTAGGTGAAGAAAATAATTTACCAAGAGACTATCAAAGCATGGCCACTAAGAGGTGGCTATATGAATAAGGGAGGTGACTGATAAAGGATTTTGCTTTTGAAAAGGTCTCATGATAACAATAACAGACATAACATTTTTATAGAACACACTATGTAGCAGGCACTATCCTAAGTTCATTACATATGCAGGTATATATACTCATTTACATATACTCATGTATATACTTATACATATTTCATCCTCGCAATCTGATTAACAAGGTATTAGCCCCATTTTCCAGATGACAAACTGAGGCACAGAGAGACTAAGCTCAACTTCATATAGTTTGTATGCAGATGAGCCAGAATTAGAACCCAGGCTATTTGACTTCTGAATTCTACTTTTCACTACCATGCTATGGTCACCAAATTGTACAGGTGAAAACACTCCAGTCATATAGATACATTCTCCTGCTGAGGGAGAAACATTTTACCATAAACCTAAGAGATTTAAAATACTGGACCTCCAAACAGATATAGTACTCAATCGGGAATTAGTTGAAACTTATTTGACCTTAGTGTAGTATCTGATACTTAAATAACCAAGATATATAATGAATATATTTATCTAAAAAGAATCTTTTCCAAATAATAGTATTATTTGATTCAATAAATACTTATGAGGGACTAACAAGGCACAATGCTAACAACTACAGGGATTATGAACTGTATCAGAACTTATTTTACTTTTTAAAATAAGAAAATAATAATAACAACTGCTACCATTTAATGAGATTTTACTGCATGCCAGGTAATGTGCTAAGTGATTTATGTCCCTTATTCTTACTAAATTATAATGCAACTCTGTGATATTTATACTATTATTCCCATTTTACAGATGAGAAAGGTGAGGTTTAGAGTGATTAAAATCACTCAGTATGTGGTAGAGCCTGGGTCCAAACTCCTGTTCATCTGACTTTAAAGCCCATGTCATCATTCCCTAAAGTAGGTTATATGTAAAGTTGTTACATGAAAAAGATTCTGCCATCAAATACATTTAGAAAATGTTGCTTCAACAAAGCTTAAAGCAGTTCTTTTCTGCAACGCATCTCAGAGTTTTTAATATACTAACAGGCACTGTGGACATCTAGGCAGAAAAAATTTCTTCCCACAATGTTTTGAGCGTGGAAACAAGCCTTAAAATTTTTAAAAATTAAGATGACACAGGCAACACTGTTCTACATCTGTTAAAAGCACCAGCTCAGGAGACAGATATGTTAGAACCTTGAAGACTCCTTGGTGCACTGCTTTCTTGTGCAACCTTGGACAATTAACTTTACTTATTTATACCTCCACTGTCTTTTCTATAATTAAGAAAAATAAGAGTAGCTATATCATAGGACGGGTGGGAAAACTAACTGAGATTTTTCTACGCAAATTGCCTAAACCTGTGCCTGATACATAGCCAGTGTTGTATAAGCTTCAGTTACATGGTTACAAACTACTCCCAGTCCTTGATATTATGCCATATCCCAGGAGAGCATGAATAATTAAATCTATTAATACTTACCATAAATGGCAGCGGTCATGTGTTATCAAAAAAATGTTAAGTAGGTTCAAGAGAGAAAGAAATTGTAGCTGGTTCATAAATGGGGTTCATAAATGTTTCCACAGATGAGCTATCTCTTAAGATAAACTTTGAGGAATGGCTTGTGTTTTGAGAGGTATATATGGAAGAATGGGGGAGGGAACTGTATAAACAAAAAGTACATAGAAAACAGAATATGTTGAAGTTAAAAATTTTTTAGGCTCTCAAGGTATTCTTAGGGTTTCTGGATTAAAAGGCAAAACAGAAAATAGAAAAACTAAAAACCAAAACCAAAAATAGAGTATCTTTGTGACCTTGGAGTAAGCGAAGGTCTCTTAAACAGGAAATAAAAGATGCTAATCATAAAAGAAAAAAATTGATGAATATATTCTCTTAATAAGAATGTAGGAAAAAGACACAATCAAGAAAATGAAAAGGCAATCCACAGAGTGGGTGATGATATTCACAATAAATATTTTTTGACAAAGGACCTGAATCTAGAATATAGAACTCCTACAGATCAATAAGAAAATGACAACACTAGATAAATGGGCAAAAGACTTGGACACTTCACAAAAGCATATATTAAAAGGGCCAATAAACATACAAAAATGGTGATTAACTTCATTAGTAGTTAGGAGTATGTGAATTACAACTACAATGAGATATCACTACATATCCACAAGAATGGTTCGATTTGATGAAGAAAGATGAAGATTATTAAGTGTCGACAAGGATACAGAGCAACTAGAATTCTATATTAAAGTGCAAGTTGCCACAGCTACTTTGAAAAACTACTTGGCAATATCTATTTCACCTGAATATATACATACCGTATGACCCAGAAATTTCACTTCTAGGTATATACCTAACAAAAATGATATGTTCGAGAATGCTTATAGCAATATTCTTTATAATAGCCCCAAACTGGAAATTAGGCAGTTAATCTATCAACAATAGAAAATAATTTTGGTATGTTCACACAATGAAACATTCATACAATGACATACAGTGATGAGAACAAATGGCACACACTTACATGCAACAACCAATAGATCTTGCAAGCATAACGTTGAAAAAAAGAACTAAAATAAAGGAGTACATGCTGTATGATACCATTTATATAAAGTATAAAACCAGGCAAAGTAATTTATTCTGTTAGGATAGTGGCTCTCCTCACAGCAAGGATGGGATGAGGTGGGGGGTGAGATGACTAAAACAGGGCATTCAGAGTGTCTTCTAGGATGCCAGAAATGTTCTTTCCTTGATCTAGGGGCCAGCTGCATGTGTATGCTATATTTGTGTACATTCAGTCAACTGCACACTTAAGTGCACTTTTCTGTATGTTATAAATTAACAGAATTTTTAAAAAATGTAGTCAATGCTATTAATTCTAATAAAATGCTTCGACAAATATAGGCAAAATTTCTCAATAAGAATGTCTTCAAATACTGTCAAGTTTGTATAGTTTTAGGATGACAATGATGCTTTTTGAGTTCTTTTTTTTCCACTGCCAGCTTGATTTTGCTCAAAATGATTTGTGAGCAAATAAAATTTCTCTTTAAAGCTGATGCTTCCTTGCTGAATTTACGAAGTGAATAGGGGAGACTAACACAGACTCTAGTGATGCCAAAGAGAAAAATGTATATCTAGAACTCTGAGTCTATAAAATCTAACAATTGGCAGTTACGTGCCTGAATTTCCCTTGGGGAAGCTCAGGCTTCCCCCTAAAGAGCTCCGACAGCAGCCACCATGGCAGCAGCCTGGCAGAATGTTACATTTAAAAGTAAATCCGTCTGAGCACTGCACTGAAGTTGATAAGCAATAATGAAGTGCTGCATCAAAAAACATCAGAGAAGCCACATCATGAGGGATTTAAAGCCACAATGTCCTTTGGGTCTTGTAGTAATACGCCAGCTTTTACACAAAACGATGAATCTTTCACCGAGATGCAAC